CTGAGTTTCAGGGCTGGACCCAAACGGTGTTTCCAGAGGAAAGAGAACTAGGCACACACACCAAGTCTGGCCAGGCGCATCCTGAGCCCAGGATCGGTGCCTACGCCCTCTTGCCTCGGCCAGGAAGGCATAATGCACCGATCCTGGGTCAAGGATGGGCGTTGTCGGGATCGGTGCATGTGCATAGCTCTCTTCGCCCGAAAAGAGGGACACGCTGGCACCCCAGGCGCGACTTTCGGCGACGAGCAAGAGGAACGAAAGCGAGGGCCGGGGGGGCGACGAGCGAGGGCCGGGGGGAACGAAAGCGAGGCCGTCGGACGAGTCCTCGCCCGGAGCGCCGCAGAGAGGGACACGCTGGCACCCCAGGCACGATTTTGGTCCGAATAGGTGGGGTCGGAGGATCCCGCCGCATCGCCGATACATCGCCAATGCATCGCCGATGCATCGGCAATGCATCGGCGACGAGCGAGGGCCGGAGAACGAAATAGGGAGATGGCAACGGGCAGGGTAGAGAATCAGCTCACGTGGCCGACTTTCCCAGCGCCCAGCCCGGGGCCAGGAGGCGCCCATGCATCGAGGAATGGGCCCAGCGGCGGGGGCGAAACCAGCTGAATGCAGCAGATCTTGTAACCCCCCCTTTCCCGACCCCCCTTTCGTCCGGCCCGACAGTTGGGGTCCGAATCGGTGGGATCGGAGGATCGCGCCGCATCGCCAATGCATCGCCAACGCATCGCCGATGCACCGGCGATGCATCGGCGACGTCGGCGGTGCATCGGCGACGTCGACGCGAAGCAAATCGGGCTCCACATCGAGCCCCATCGGCGATGCATCGGCTGTACGGCGCGAACCTCCGACCCCATCTGCTCGGACCCCATCTGGGAGGCCTAGAGGCGAGCGAGGGGGGGAAGCGAGAAGGAGGCCTTCTCACAAGGCGGCGGGACCTCTCAGAAGCCCTCGCACCTTCTGCGTTTCTACGTTTTCGGCGCAGGCTTAGAAGACTTCTCAGAAGGCTGGGGGGCTTCCGAGCCATCTGGGAAAGCCCGCCACTTCTCACTTCCCCCCGGGCTCGCCGCGGAAGAACAAAAACATGCTGGTGCACCAGACATGGTGGCATCGTGACAAACACGACGGGCAATTTGTTCATATTTTCGGCGTCTGAGGGCCCCCGGACCGGCAAGCAACGACTCGGAATGAAGAACCGGTCATGGGGAAAGGTTCAGGACGATTTCTCGAAGCGCGCGTCGGAGGAGGCGGAGGGGGGGGAGGAAGAGAAGGAGGAGGAGGAGGAGGAGGAGGAGGAGGAGGAGGAGGAGGAGGACGAGGAGGAGGAGGAGGAGGAGGGAGGAGGAGGAGGAGGAGGAGGAGAGGAGGAGGAGGAGGAGGAGGAGGAGAGGAGGAGGGGAGGAGGAGGAGGAGGCGGAGGGCGGAGGAGGAGGAGGAGGAGGAGGAGGAGGAGGAGGAGGAGGAGGAGGAGGAGGAGGAGGAGGAGGAGGAGGAGCAAGAGGAGGAGGAGGAGGACGAGGAAGAGGAGGAGCGGGGGCGACGCACACATCGGCCACTGTGCCGCTAGGCACGGAAAGGGGGCAGATTTCGTTGCGCTTGGCGCGTGCCCCCTGGGCTTTCCCCCCGCGCCTCCGTGCACGCCTCTTCTGGGCCAGAGTGGGCCCCCAGACGGGGTAAGGGAGCCCCACGGGGCCCCGAAGACGGCCCAAGAGGGCCCTGGTCCAAGATGGGCCGAAGGTCCTTCGAGAACCGCGGCAAATCGTTGGACCCCCTCTTCCAATAGAGGGGGTAACTGATTGCTGTTTCGGCGGCCTGCCTGAAGGACTGCGGTCCCACCGATAGGGGGTAACCAATTATTTGTTCCCGCGGCACCCGCCGCGCAACAACGACGACAACAGAAACGACGACGACGACGAGCAGGAGGAAGAGGAGGAGGAGGAGGAGGAAGAGGAGGAAGAGGAGAAGGAGGAGGAGAAGGAGGAGGGGGAGAGGGGGAGGAGGAGGAACAGTTTATGGAACCAGTCCGATTCACCGCCGAGAGACAAGGGGGGGATCAAAACTGAAAGACCTCCTGAAGTTATCATTAGGTGGGGCACGTCCTCCTACAGGCAGATCTCGGAAGAGAGATATTGGAAAATACTGTCCCCAAGATAAACAACGTAGAAAAATCGTCCCCTAACTGTTTGTTTGGACTCGTGTTGAGCATTCCTCCTGTAGAGGGACATGCCCAACTTCAGGTTCATATCAATGTTAGGGCCACCGGGGATTTCGGAGCCGATCGAAGACTGGGCCAAGCCCCTTACAGTCGGTCATCGATTTTGTTGAGCTAGCCGAAAACCAAGAAGCCCAGGCTACCCCCCTCACGGTTCCTCAGCCCCTCCCCGCGAACCACCTCCCAGCGACGCCCCACGTCCAGCGAGGCGCGCCAACGCGTATGATGGGAGCTCCCTGCCGCCTCCCAGGCCGAGGGCGGTCCGCGGATGTGAAGGGGCGAGGGGTGGCGCGAGAGGGGGATCGAGGCCGATCGGGGTGCACAGCAGGGGTCCGACCACGAGCAGCCTCGCGTGAGAAACCCAACCCTGAGACCCCAGGACGTCGACCAATTCTTGGCGCGGGGACGTCGCGCTCTCCATAGCAACAACCAAGCAACCCGAGAAACCCTGGGCACACTGGACGCAGGCAGGGTTCCTTGACATGGGGATCCAGTGTAGCTAGAGGCCTCCTGGATGGGGTCGGAGCAGATGGGGTCGGAGGATCGCGCCGCATCGCCGATACATCGGCGATGTATCGGCGATGCACCGGCGATGCAATGTCGACATCGGAAGTGCATCGGCGACGTCGACAATGGAGCAAGTCGGGTTCCACATCGAGCCGCATCGCCGATGCATCGGCGATGCGGCGCGATCCTCCGACCCCCTCGGTTCCGACCCCATCTTTTGGAGGCCTAGAGTAACCTAGAGGAGGGCTGGCTCCACCCATCTCATCGGGTATTGCTAGAAGTGCCCCTGGCCCAAAGTGCCCCCCGCTTTTCGCACCATTTTGGCGCCCCTGGAGCCCTCTGGGCCTCGTGAGGGGTGCTGTGGAAGCCGTCTGGGCCACCCCGGGAATTCTAGGGGCGCCTTGGACCAGGAGGCACTTCTAGCAACACCCGATCTCAGTACGCTTCGCTTCGCGTCGCCCCGTGGGAACGCCAGTCAGTGCCTGAAGCGCCCCAAACAACACCGCGGGCCGCCACTGCGCGGGCCCGCTCACACCTTGGAGGTGGGTGGAGAACCCCCCCGGGTCACGACTCCCAGAAGGCGAGGCCCCAGCTGGGGAGGCTGAGGTGGGCCCACAAGAGACCTGCGCAACCAGGGAGGGCAAGAAGAGAGGCACGGCAGAGCCAACCGTCCGTCCTCGACGGCTCCCCGGCCTCCAGACGGGCCCTCCCCGCACGGCCGGCGGAGGCTACCTGCCTAGAGCGGCGGCCCAAAGGCCGGACGTTCCGCCGCGCCGCGGTTTATTCCCAACCCTCCTCTGTTGGGTTTTCGTTTTGAATAGAGCAGCTGCGGTCGCGACTCCTCTCCGCTCCTCCCCCGAACCCTCCTCCTTTCTTCTTCCCCCCTGTTTCCTACCTCGCTGCTCATGCGTGCCAGTTTGTCTCCTACCACACCATCCCTGGGGGGGGTGGGATCTGCGAAACTGTCGCCGCGTTCGAGGGCTTCTGGGGGGGGTGGGGGGCCCAGCGGAGTGACGTCATACGCAGATTCAGATTAGACCTCGCCATCCATGGGGGGCTGCCATCTGCGAAACTGTCACACTTTCGAGGGCTGCTGGGGGCCCAGCGGAGTGGGGTCATACGCAGATTCAGACTAGACCTCGCCATCCCTGGGGGGCCGCGATTTGCGAAACTGGCACCACTTTCGAAGGCTTCTGGAGGGGGGGCAGCGGAGGGGGTCATACGCAGATCCAGATTAGACCTCGCCATCCCTGGGGGACTGCGATCTGCGAAACTGTCACCACGTTCGAAGGCTTCTGGGGGGCCCAGCGGAGTGACGTCTTAGCAGATTCCGGTTAAATCTCGCCATCCCTGGGAGGCTGCGATCTGCGAAAATGTCACCACTTTCGAGGGCTGCTGGGGGGCCCAGCGGAGTGGGGTCATACGCGGAGCCAGATTAGACCTCGCCATCCCTTGGGGACTGCGATCTGCGAAACTGTCGCCACTTTCGAGGGCTGCTGGGGGGCCCAGCGGAGTGGGGTCATACGCAGATTCAGATCAGACCTCGCCATCCCTGGGGGGCTGCCATCTGCGAAACTGTCACACTTTCGAAGGCTGCTGGGGGGCCCAGCGGAGTGGGGTCATACGCAGATTCAGACTAGACCTCGCCATCCCTGGGGGGCCGCGATCTGCGAAACTGTCACCACTTTCGAGGGCTGCTGGGGGGCCCAGCGGAGTGGGGTCATACGCAGATTCAGACTAGACCTCGCCATCCCTGGGGGGCTGCGATCTGCGAAACTGACACACTTTCGAAGGCTTCTGGGGGGCCCAGCGGAGTGACGTCATACGCAGATTCAGATTCGACCTCGCCATCCCTGGGGAGCTGCGATCTGCGAAACTGTCACCATTTTCGAGGGCTCCTGGGGGGCCCAGCGAAGTGACGTCATACGCAGATTCGGATCAGACCTCGCCATGCCTGGGGGGCTGCGATCTGCGAAACAATCGCCACTTTCGGGGGCTGATGGGGGGCCCAACGGAGTGGGGTCATACGCAGATTCAGATTAGACCTCGCCATCCCTGGGGGACTGCGATCTGCGAAACTGTCGCTACTTTCGAGGGCTGCTGGGGGGCCCAGCGGAGTGGGGTCATGCGCAGATTCAGATTCGACCTCGCCATCCCTGGGGGGCTGCCATCTGCGAAACTGTCACCACTGTCGAGGGTTTCTGGGGGAGGGGGGGGGCAGACGAGTGGGGTCATGCGCAGATTCAGACTCAACCTCGCCATCCCTGGGGGGCTGCGATCTGCGAACCTGTCACCACTTTCGAGGGCTGCTGGGGGGCCCAGCGAAGTGACGTCATGCGCAGATTCAGACTAGACCTCGCCATCCCTGGGAGACTGCGATCTGCGAAACTGTCGCCACTTTCGAGGGCTGCTGGGGAGCCCCGCGGAGTGGGGCCATACGCAGATCCAGATTAGACCTCGCCATCCCTGGGGGGCTGCGATCTGCGAAACTGTCACACTTTCGAAGGCTGGTGGGGGGCCCAGCGGAGTGGGGTCATACGCGGAGTCAGATTAGACCTCGCCATCCCTGGAGGGTTGCCATCTGCGAAAATGTCACCACGTTCAGATGCTGCTGGGGGGCCCAGCGGAGTGACGTCATACGCAGATTCAGATTAGACCTCGCCATCCCTGGGGGGCTGCGATCTGCGAAACTGTCGCCACTTTCGAGGGCTGTTGGGGGGCCCAGCGGAGTGACGTCATACGCAGATTCAGATTACCCCCCATTCCATCCTTCTCCTGCCCCTCGTTCCTGTCCCCGTGATTCTGCGAGCCTGGGGCCTCAATCCTCGTTCTTTCGATCGTCGTCCTGTGAGTCGTGCAACGCATGCGCATCCCATGTAGTTTGCGCAGCAATTCAACGCGTCTACACTGTCGCTGTTCCTGTTAATGTTGGCCTACTCCTCTTGCCACTTGATGCACATGGGTTGGGTACGTCGCAGGGTAAGTTGTCGATTCTGTAAATAGAACGATATGTAAAGATATGTATATGTATACACATATAAACACACAAACATATATGCGAGTAAAGAATCGTATATTGCTGTTATATATATATATATATATATATTTATAAAAAAAAAAAAAAAAAAAAAAAAAAAAAAAAAAAAAAAAAAAAAAAAAAAAAAAAAAAAAAAAAAAAAAAAAAACGAGAGGTGGTCACATCTCGGCGGCGAGAGACCCCGACCCCCCCTCGAGCAATGAATAAACACGACGGGAGGTGTTTCGCTACCTTCGGCCTCCAGGGGCCCGTACCGGGCCTCGGGGCCGTCAAAAAAAGACTCCTGATGAAAAACCACTCCCGGGAGAAGGGTCCTGACCTCTGGGGGTCGACGTCGTGGAAAAATCATGGCGTCGGAGGTCTGGGGAGGGAGGGTGAAGTGAGAGGGACGGCGAGGGGACAACAAAGAGTGGGACCCCTTCGTTTCCGGCGCCGTGTTCGCCCCCCCCCTCCCCTCCCTGCCCCACACCTCCCCCCCAGGCTCAGGGGTGGCGTCCAGCCTGCTGGAGGCCCTGGGGGGGCCCACTTTGTTGTCCTTCCAGGCCTGGGCCCAGGGCCAACCTTGAATAGAGCAACAGGTGGTATGTCGACCCCTAATCCTGGAGTTCTCGAATGCACCGAAAACTCGAATGGAGTTCTTGAATGCACCGAAAACTTGAATAGAGCAATGGAGTTCTCGAATGCACCGAAAACTTGGGCCCCAACCCTGGGATATACGAGGGGGGGGGCGCCCATCCTCGACAGGGGTGCGTCCGAGTAGCCCCCCCTGGGGGTGTATCCCAGGGTTCCCCCCCCATTTCTCACTTGCTTCACTCTTCGTCGAAAAGCTGGGGGCTGGGGTAGAAAAAAAATCGCCTGTGACAGAGGAGGGCAAGAGGGGAGCGGAGCCAGAGGCTCCGCTGCCTTGTCCGGAGGCCCCCCGCGCGCCTTGCCCGAGGCCTCGGCGCCTCTTCGGGGGCGGCCCGCGGAAGACTTCGCGCAGAAGGCTCGAGGCCTGCAGAGTCAGGTCGGGCACGCCTGAAGGGGCCACAGGGTACACAAATAAATACACACGAATAACAAAAAACTATATTTTCCCAGATGTCTGGGATTTTCGTCTTCCCCCCCACTTCCCATGTTTTCCCATATTTTCGAAGGAATCGACAATCAATTGTGTCTGTGTTTGTTTGTCCTCCGACAGGCGGATTTGGACGAAAAATGAAAAATTGTCACAACAAAGCAGTCCAAAAATAATCGAAAGATCGTCCCCTGACTAGCTTTTACCAATGTTAGCTTTTCCTCCTGTAGAGGGACGTGCCCGACGGAACGTCAGAGCCTTCTGAGGCCTGGCCCCTCTCGCTTGCCCCCCACCCCCCGGGCGCGCCGCCGACGCTCGGGCGTCGGTGCAAGCTGGGGGGGCCTGCCCCCTGGCCCCGGGGCCGCCAAGGAACCGCTCGGGACGGGGAAGCGGCCCCGTGGGGAAGGTCCAAACCTCTGGGGGCCCACGCTGCTAAGAATGACCGTTTTCTTCTCCATGGTTTTGCCGATCGGCGCGGGCCCTCGCACCCCCCCCCTACCCCCCCACCCAATATGGGGTAGATCTTGGCTGTTTTGGGCGCCTGCTTCGAGCACGTGGAGCCTCCCGCCTGCTTCGAGGAGGTGGAGTCTCCCCCATGACGGACGCCCTGCCGCAAACAGTCGCACTAGGCAGAGCTCCGGAGCCAGACCCCCTCCCTCACCCCCCTTCAGCCCAGTGTCGAAACGCCTGATAAGAAAACGCCCACCACGGCACTTGAGGTCGGGGGGTTTGAACAAACTGATCTGGAATCCGCGATACGTCGACGATCGATCAGCTATAGGCACCCGATATAGCGAAGCCACTTGACCGTGGACGGAGGTGAGGGCCAAGACCCCGATTGGCCATGAATGGGTGATTCCAGGGGTTGCTCAAAGTGTCCCTGGCTCAGGGTGCCCCCAGCTTTTCGCCGAATTTGTGAGCCCCTGGGGCCTCCTGGGCCTCGTGAGGGGTGCTCTGGAGGTCGTGGGAGCCTCCCTGGAAATCCCGGGCGCACCTGGGGCCAGTAGCACTTCTAGCAACTCGGGGGCGCCCAAACATGGATCGGGAGAGGTGCCCTCCCCAAAATGCTGTCGGTGCCGCCTCGCTCGGCGGCGGAACCCCGCGATTCCCCATGGAAACGGGACCCGTCGCTAATCCACACGCCCCCTTGATCCATGTCTGCGATCGCCTGATTCTAGAAACACCCCATGATTGGTGGCCGATGCCCCCCCCCACGGGCCAGCTCCCCCTTGCCCGTCGTTGCCCCTGCCGCCTGGCGAAGCCCAGCTCGTGGTCCGCCGCGTGGAGCGAGGAGTCCTTGTGGCTCGAGGGGCTCTCCTGCAGGAGGCCATCCCCGAGTGGGGCCCAGCACGGACTGACGACCAGCCAGGCCACCCCAACCGAACCAAAACTATAAGAAGAACAAAAAAAATAAGACTAGAACTGTTGGCGCTCCGCGCGGACTTCTTGGATTCGCGCTGGACCCCCTCCCTGGCGCGCGGAGCGCGCCGGGGGCGGCGCCAGAGGCGCCGCCAAGGGGGCCCGGCGCCGATCCAAGAAATCCGCGCGGAGCGCCCAAAAGTTTATGTTGATGTGGTTCTTTCTTCTGCGACGAAAACACCAAAATTCCAGGCCAGGGGAGCTACGGGTCTCACCTGTGCTTTCCACCTTCCCCGACGCCCCACCCCCCGCCAACGGGAATGGAGAGCAAACCTTGGCCCTTCGGGTTGGGATGGGGTGGCCTGGCAGCTGGTGACGGACGGGACCAGAGGACCGCCGACGCCTCGCCGATGCACATCGGCGCTGCAAACGCGACGGCGGGGTGGAGAAAGTCGAGCTCCGGATGCATCGCCGAGGCGTCGGCGATGCGTCGGCGATGCGGCGGCGATCCTCTGACCCCGTTCTGGCCCCACCTGGGAGGTCCTGTAAGGCTGGGCACCCAGACATCCGGCGAGGTCCAGGAACACCGGGCGTCCGCTGTTTCCCGCCAGACTTAGGTCGGGCGTGTCCTCCTACAGGGGGATTTGGACGAAAAAAAAATTATACCCCAAAACTGCTCTCAAAAAAACATCGCCTGACTGTTGTTTAAACGATGTTTGAATACTCCCCCCCTGTAGAGGGACAGGCCCGACTTAACCTCAGACTTGTTGGAAGCTGATCTGAAAGACCCAACCGTAAGCAAGTGTGAATTCCGCAATTGTGGGCATCATCTTCGGTGGAGCTCCATATGGGGCCACGAACCGTGTGAGGGGTGCGCCAAAATGGGGCGGGGCCGCCATGCGGACCCTGCCACTGGGGCCTTCGGTGGAGCTCCCTATGGGGCCACGAGCCGTGTGAGGGGTGCGCCAAAATGCGGGGCCGCCATGCGGACCCTGCCACTGGGGCCTTCGGTGGAGCTCCCTATGGGGCCACGAACCGTGTGAGGGGTGCGCCAAAATGCGGGGCCGCCATGCGGACCCTGCCACTGGGGCCTTCGCTGGAGCTCCCTATGGGGCCACGGAACGCGTGAGGGATGTGCCGAAACAGAGACATGCGGAGGGCAGAGGCAAGCGGGAGGGAGGAGGGGGAGGAGGAGGAGGAGGAGGAGGAGGAGGAGGAGGAGGAGGAGGAGGAGGAGGAGGAGAGGAGGAGGAGAAGGACGCGGGGCACCGTCTCTTCAAAGCGAGGACCCAACACCACAGGATGATTGGGAAAAAAACATCTCGGGAGACGTACATCCAGCCCTGGGGGAGCCGTTGGCGGCACGCACGGGCAGGCGGTCAGCATCAGATCGATCAGTCGGATCGGACCGACCCGAACATCGAATCGGCAGAGATCGGCCGACACATCGCATCGGCAAAGAAAGGCGGCAGAATCGGAAACCGGAGCGCGTCCAGACCGGGTCGGAATCGAGATCGGCTGGGCCGCCCTCACGGACCACGGAGGGGGCCGCCCGCCCGGAGGGGGCCCCCCGCCCGGAGGGGGCCCCCCGCCCGGAAAGGCCGCCCGCTCGGAGGGGGCCGCCCGCCCGGAGGAGGCCGCCCGCCCGGAGGGGCTCCCCCGCCCGGAGAGGCCGCCCGCCCGGAGACGGCCGCCCGCCCGGAGGGGGGCCCCCCCTCCCGGAAGGGTGCCCCGGAGGGGGGCTCCCCCTCCCGGAAGGGAGGCTCCCCTGCCGCAGAGGGGCCGCCCGCCCAAGGGGGGCCGCCCGCCCGGAGACGCCCGCCCGCCCGGAGGGGGCCGCCCGCCCGGAGGGGGCCGCCCGCTGGCGGAGGGGCCCCCCCTGCCGGAGGGGGCCGCCCCGGGGAGGTGGCGCGCGGCGGGAGGCGGCCGTGTGCAAGCCCTTGCGGGGGGGCCGTGCACGAGGGCTGGCGACGCGGGAGGAGACGCCAGCCCTGCGCCTTGACAGAAAGCTTCTTTCGTTCTCTTGCACAGCTGTGCTCCAGAGCTCGGACCTCTTTATTTTCGTCGTCGTCGTTCGGTCGTTCGTCGTTCGCGCTCCCCCCCCCGGCCACGGAAGGAAACTCCTGGAGGAAGGAGGCGAAAGCCTCCTGTCCCTCGCAGCTCCTTCGTGCAAGAGCCAGAGAACGCGTGCCACTTGTTCTGGTCCTCAACGTCTGGCCGAAGAGTGGGGGAGGGGGGAGGGGTCTGGGCCTGGGCCGGTGCTAAGCCGACTTGCTTTTGCCAGTCGCGCAAGCAGGCTGGGGTGGAAGAGGGGCCCTGACCAGTCGCCAAGAGCAGCCGCCAAGAGCAGCCAGAATCTGGTCCACGAGGGGCCCGCGCCGATCGGCGCCACAATGGAAATTAGCCTGGCGAAAGACCCAACCATAAGCAAGTGTTAATACCGCAATTGTGGGCATCATCTTCGGTGGAGCTCCCTATGGGGCCACGAACCGTGTGAGGGGTGCGCCAAAATGAGGCGGGGCCGCCATGCGGACCCTGCCACTGGGGCCTTCGGTGGAGCTCCCTATGGGGCCACGAGCCGTGTGAGGGGTGCGCCAAAATGCGGGGCCGCCATGTGGACCCTGCCACTGGGGCCTTCGGTGGAGCTCCCTCTGGGGCCACGAACCGTGTGAGGGCGGGCCAAAATGCGGGGCCGCCATGCGGACCCTGCCACTGGGGCCTTCGGTGGAGCTCCCTATGGGGCCACGAACCGTGTGAGGGGTGCGCCAAAATGCGGGGCCGCCATGCGGACCCTGCCACTGGGGCCTTCGGTGGAGCTCCCTATGGGGCCACGAGCCGTGTGAGGGGTGCGCCAAAATGCGGGGCCGCCATGCGGACCCTGCCACTGGGGCCTTCGGTGGAGCTCCCTATGGGGCCACGAACCGTGTGAGGGGTGCGCCAAAATGCGGGGCCGCCATGCGGACCCTGCCACTGGGGCCTTCGGTGGAGCTCCCTATGGGGCCACGAACCGTGTGAGGGGTGCGCCAAAATGCGGGGCCGCCATGCGGACCCTGCCACTGGGGCCTTCGGTGGAGCTCCCTATGGGGCCACGAACCGTGTGAGGGGTGCGCCAAAATGCGGGGCCGCCATGCGGACCCTGCCACTGGGGCCTTCGGTGGAGCTCCCTATGGGGCCACGGAACGCGTGAGGGATGTGCCGAAACAGAGACATGCGGAGGGCAGAGGCAAGGGGGAGGGAGGAGGGAGGGGGCAGCGGGAGGAAGGAGGAGGAACGCGGGGCACCGTCTCTTCAAAACGAGGACCCAACACCACAGGATGGTTGGGAAAACGCAAAAGGGCGACCAAGCTGGATGCCTGGGAGGCCGCACAAGCAGACACAAGCCCTCGAACGTGTTCGGCAAGCTTCTCCGCAGGCCCCGCGCAACCCCGCAGCGCACCAGGGAAGGCGTGCTGGCACAACACAAAGCAGCCGGCGTCCCGACCTGCTCGAGCCTTCGGGCACCCGTCTTCTCTGCCGCTTCCACCTGAACTGGCTGTTTTTTTTGGCTCCGTGGCATTCGGAAGTGGGCGCAAACTGATTTAATAGTTTTAACGCCGGATTGGGCGGAAATTGCCACCAGAACTGGCTGTGTGACGGCCGCGGCGGCCCGGCGGAGACCGTCCCCGAAAGCCCGAGGGGCCGAACGCTCGGAGCTCGGTCGACCAACTTCGCGCAGCACGCCCCGCGACGGCGCGGTTGCCCGGGCGCCCCCCCGCGCCGTCCGCTGCAGGAGGGCGCCCCTTCCCCACACTCCCCAGGCCAGGCCGCGGTGCGCGGAGGCCGATTCTCGTCGTCGCGCTCCCTCGGAGGGCCTGGGAGAGGGCCGACGGCTCGCTGCATCCGCCGCCGTGCCCTCGGGCACGGAGCGGGCGCGTCCTCGAGCCCTCTGCCCAATCCTCTCTGGGCCTCAGTCCTCGATCCTGCGGAGTCTTTCCAAGGGGCAATCCTCTGCGCCTCAGTCCTCGATCATGCTGAATAGTTGAAGGGACTGGACCCCAGCTGGCCACATCTCTCGGGGCGTGTCGCGTCCTGTCGCGTGACCTGCTCGGAACCAAGAGGGTCCTAGGACGGGCCAAGAGGGCCCCAAGAGGCCCCCAAGACGATCCAAGAGGACCCCGAGTCGCCGAAAAGATCGTTCCAAGGCCTCCAAGACGCCCCGAGAGGCCTCCAAGAGGCCTCCCAAGAGGGCCCCTAGAGGCAAAAGTCATGGATGTTCTTCAGGTGTTTGAAGGATGTAGGCGTTCTCGCCTTTTCTGCTCTCCGACGCTCCAAGACGGCCCAAGAGGCCCCCCAGACCATCCCAAGACAGCCCAAGAAGCCCCCGAGGGGCCCCAGACGGCCTGAGAGCGCCCCGAGGAGGCCCAAGAGGCGTCCAAGACAGCCAAAGAGGGCCCCAAAACGGTTTCAAAAAGGGCACAAGAGAGGGAACGCGAACAGTAAATCGGAGACTTCCGCCCGAAGAGGCCCCCAGAGGCCTCCAAGAGGCCGAAAGATGCCCCCAAGAGGCACAGAAGAGACCCAAAAGAGAGCACAAAACGACCCCCAAGAGGGCTCCAAACTGACTCCAAGAGGCCCCAGAGAGGCCTCCCACGAAATCCCAACTAACATCCAATAGGCTTCACACCCACAACCCAGGCACGGTGGCAGGAAAGGCCGAAGACCATTGCACGTCGGACGGAAGAAGTGAGTAAAAAGATAGAGTAGGCAGGCGGGTAAAGTAGGTTGGGCCCGGGCCCTCCCAGAGAATAACCAAGCACAGCAAAAATATACGAGTTCTTGAAAAAGGAAGACGCTTGAAACAGATTGGGATCTGGGAATCCAATAACAACCTAGAGCCTGTTTAATCTTAGACTCCGGAAAATTCACTTACCTGGACGGGGGGGGCCTGAACCTGAATCGGAATCGGAATCGGCATCGGTCTTGCCAAGGTGGGCCGCGAGGGCCCAGCAAGTTGGCACCGGAGCGCCAGCTGCATGTGCAACGCGGGAAACATGAACAGGCGACGCCCAGCTGCGAAATCGCGCCTGAACCTATAGCAAGCCGCAAACAACTCACACGTGCGGAAATCACGCAAGTCGAAAGGCACTTGCACGTTAGTAGTCGTTTGAATTAGGGGGTGGGGGGGGGTGGGGGCGAACGCCATACAAAAACAGGCTCCTAATATTCAACGACTGGCGTATAGATATTTGCACGTCTCCGGGGTATGAGGAGAACGTCCAGGTGTCCGGCGCCAACGGAAAGGACCGCCCCCGCAAGCCCGAGAGAGGACTCTCCGTGCTCTCTCCGTGGGCGGTCCTCCTCGCTCACCCCGTCGTTGTGGAGGCCGCCGAAGAGGGTCGGCCTCACCCAGCAGTCCACGCCTGCCGATGATCTTCAGACGCTAGCAGGCAACTACTGGGAGGCCTTCGTCGGAAAGATTAGGGAGAATGAAGCCCCCTTGGGGGGCTGTTGCGCCGGATGAGGCCGCGGGTTCAGCGGGATCCAGCGGGATTAAGCACGATTAAGCGGGATTAGCGAGATTCAGCCGATGCAAACCCGATTTCGGACCAGGTCAAAGTCAGAAGTTGGCCTCCCAGGAGTTGCATTCGAAAACGTGTGTCAGCGCCAACGTGTGCTGGTCCACCAACGCCCTTCAGCACGACGCGTGCGGTGCAAAAAGAGGGCCAACACGGGCTGTGTGCCATCGTTGGAGCTGAACGGGGCAACACACACGCAAACACACACACACACACACGCACACACGCACACACGCACACACACACACACACACACACACACACACACACACACGCACACACACACACACACACACACACACACACACACACACGCACACACACACACACACACACGCGCGCGCGCACGCGCACATCCTGAGGATCATCGAGCCTGAGGGGCGGAGGTCTCGCCCGTGGCGGCACGCAGCTGGAGGCAAGGCTGCAGGGGGCTGGCCTCCACCGCGCCGTGAACAGAGTCACGCTGGAGGCTTCTCAACACTCCGCGGCCTCCTGAGGCCCTCCCTGGTGGTGAGCAGAAGCCGGCCCTGAGGAGTCGGGGGAAAGCCCTCCGGGGGGGCCATGCTTTGAGACCATGTGGAGCCCATGTGCAGTGTGAGCAGTGCGGTGAAAGCTCTGTGGTGCAAGCTATGTGGTGTGAGCATGTGGAAAAAAAGCGGTGTAGGACAAGGCTTGTTTAGAAGCTGGGAGGCCTCCAAGAAGCCCCCTTCCTCATTACGCGCCGGTCGGAAGATGGTAGAAGCATGAAGTAGAAAGGCGTTGGAAGCGGATTGGGTCTCCGCCAGCCCCCTGAAGAGGAAGGAAGAAGCAAAGCCAGTCGAATCTTGAAGCAGGAAGGCACCTATAGCGGATTGGGGCTTTCAACGACCGAGGTGTACTGGCTTCAACCGCACTCGGACGCGCAGAGCGCATCCATGCACCACCACCGTGCCAGACCAGGAGCATCCTCATGGCGTGGCGAGGCGTCGCAAAGCAATGTACATCACGGCTTTGAAGCCTCCGTGCTCCTCCTCCTCCTCCTCCGCCTCCTCCTCCGTTGCCATGCTTGGCACGCTCGATGTTTCACACACCTCATTGCCATTGCCATTCGTTTCACATCATTGCCAATGCATCTCGGACGTGCACGGCGTCTGTCTGGCCGAGGCCAGGAGGTCTATGCACCATCTGTGGAATGGAGGCCGCCCCCATTGTCACGAGAGGCGAACGTATGCAGGTCCAAGCCCTCGCGGTCTGGATTTCAAGGCCCGGTTCTACGGATGCGCGCTCACGAAGATACGCTTAGGTCGGGCGTGTCACCAAACAGGGGGATTCTGGACGAAAAATAAAAAATAATGCTTCAACAAACATGTGTTTAAAACACAAACAAATACTCAAAACATCGTCCCCTGGTTATGTTTTGACTAGTTTTGAAGGTTCTTCCTGTAGAGGGACAGGCCCGACTTAAACGTATGCAGATCCAAGCCCTCGCGGTCTGGATTTCAGGGCTCGCTTCCGCGGATGCGCGGTCACAGAGATGCGCTTCGCGCGGGGCATCCGCGAACAAAAAAAACACCCCGCATCCACGGGGTCGCGGCCCAGGGGGCTGGCCCGCGAGGCCGCGGATGCAGACATGTGTCTCGCCCAAAGACCTCGGAGAAGAACAAACGGCACAACCCATGAACTTCTGGCGCTCCGCGAAGATCTCTTTGATCCGCGCGGGCCCCCCCCCCCGGCGCCCCTGGCGCCGCCCCTGGCGCGCTCCGCGCGCCAGGGAGGGGGGCCCAGGCGCGGATCCAAGAAATCCGCGCGGAGCGCCAGAAGCTTATTGAAGGGGCCCTGGGACACACAAATAAATAGACACAAACAACAGGATTCCTTATATTTTCCCAGATGTTCTGGTTTTTGTCTTCCCCACACTTCCCATACTTCCCCACGTTTTCTGGGGAATCGACGACTAATTGTGTCTGTGTGTCTTTTGTCCCTCCTGATTTATGCTTATGCCGTTTTTTCGTCTTCGAAGACCTCGAGCTACCGCCCCGCGTGCGCCGCCGGCCCCTGCCGGAGGCGCCACTGCGAGGGGTCCTCGGCGCCGCGGGGCTGCCGTCTGGGGAGGCGGAAGGGCCTCGCGGGAGGGGGGAAGGCTTCTTAGAAGCAGGGGTGCTTCTAAGAAGCCTTCCCCCCTCCCCTTACCCCCCTCTGCGCGTGGCCGACCTCCCCCCCATCACCTGCCACCGTCGGGCCCTTCCGCTCCGCCACGAGAAGAGCCCGGCACCGAAAAGGGCGGCAGCCTGGGACGGTGGCGGACTTGCGGAACAGCATCGCGGGCAACTCGTGGCCGTCCTGGCGAGGCGTGCTCTGGGTTAGGTCGGGCGCGTCCTCCCACAGGCAGACTTTGGACGACGAGTGCGAAAGGGAGTCAAGAACTCTTCAAACATGGTCACGAATAGTAAAAAGATCGTGCCCCGACTGTCTCTTGATTCTCTTCGAAGACTTCTCCTGCAGAGGGACATGCCCGACTGCAGCTTTGGGGGGGGGGGAAAAGGGGCGGCGACGGAGAGCGCGGGGCGCCGGCGGCCGGCAGCAGAGGGCCGAAGCACAGAGCACGGCACGGCACGGCACCGCCCCGCGCGGAACGGGGGCGGAGCGAGACCCCCCACACGCAGGCATGTAACGGCCCGCCGCCCAGGCCGAAGTCGCCGCTGGGCTTGTCGATTTTGCCAGAAGGGGGGGCGAGCGGGAACAGTGTTTGAAACACCACGTGAGCCCGGCCCGGCATCGGGGAGGATGTGGGAGCCTCGGGTTGGGTTGGGGTGGTTTGGTGAGTAGTGAGAACCTTTCGAAGGTCCGCGGGGATTTCTCGGATCGATGCTGGACACACACACACACACACACGTACACACACACACACACACACACACACACCCTGGCGCGCGGAGCGCGCCAGAGGCGCCAAGGGCTCTAAGAAATCCAGGCGGAACTCCGAAAGCCTTCATGCCTGGCGGCGAAATCCGAACCCCACCCTCGCCGATCGACGGTTCGGGCAACCCGATGGGCGGGCGGGGGTGGGGCTCGGAATGCGCCGAACACCTCACGGATGAAGGGGCCCACAAACACAAATAAAAAGATTCCCCACATGATCCCATATTTTCCCATACTTTCCTGTATATATATATATATATATATATATTCTGGGGAATCGACGATCAATTGTGTCTGCATGCTTCTTTCCCTCCTGCGACGGAATCCGAACCCTGCCCTCAGGGGAACGAGCAGTGGCATGATCAGAACAGCTCGGAGGCCCGCGCGCGGACTTCTCGGCTCGGCCCCCCGGCGCGGCCCCGGCGCCGATCCAAGAGAGGTCCGCGCGGGCCTCCGAGTTGTTATGTCCACGTCACTGTTCGCTCCCCCGTGCCCCCGCCTCCCGTGGAGCCAGGAGAACCGATGGTTGCAGGGGGTAGGGTTCGGATGTCGCGACCCACCTGCTCCTGCAGAGATTGTTCTTGAGGCCCAGTCGAGGAGGACGGCGAGGACGGCGACGACGACGAACGACGACCCACGACGACGACGACGACGACGACGACGACGACGACGACGACGACGCATGAAAGCACCTGCGAGGGTGCAGCGGGTGGGCGCCGGGAAGCGCGGGGCCGCCGCTTCCCGGGGCGAGGTCTGCCTGTGCCCCGCGTGGCCGCGCGAGCGAGCATGCACGGGTCGGAGTCGGCGGCACGGGAGCCACAGGATGGAGGAGGAGGAGGAGGAGAGGAGGAGGAGGCGGAGGAGGAGGAGGAGGATGACGGGGAGGAGTGGGATGGGGAGGCACCTAGAAGACACAGGATGAAGTCGCAGCAGGGGGCCCGCGAGCCATGCTGCGGCGGAGGGGGCCCTGTGCGCGGCGCCCTCCAGCAGCCGCACCCGCAGGGGGGGGGGGGGGACGGCACGGGACAGGTCTGTCCAGTGAGCTCCCAGGGCTGTCAGCACCGAGTGTAACCAAGGGAAGGCTGCATACGATGATTCACAGGATCTGCTACCTCAGGCTCTAGCGCAGATGGACATGGACGAGGGGTTCTGGCTCAGGGGCATGCTTCCCGCGGCCTGGATGGCAGTACCCCCGCCGCAGGCTGTTGAATGCTGGACCCCTGAGGGATTCAATGCAGTCTCTGCAGGGTGTTGGGGTGAAGGCTCCATCAGCAGCCCTCTCCTCATCAGTGGCGACGCTAGTGGAGGGCCCGACAGTAGCAGCAACTTGTTTCGCCGCGTCGGCGTAGCCGTGGCCCTTTTTGCCTCGCTTGAGCCCTGCGTTGAGCTAATCGGCACGGTGCGAGGCCCCCTGTGTGGCCCTCGCCAAGTCGTGGCGAGGGGCGAGCTTCGGGCCTTAGTGCTCGCGGTTTGGCTCACCAGAGGTTTCATTTTGTTCATTTCAGACTGCGAGCCAGTTGTCAAAGGCTGGTTTGAGGGCCGCTATGATCGGCCCCAAGGCGACGATAAGGATTTGTGGGCGCAGTTAGGCCAGCTTCTCAAAGAGCGAGCAGGCGGAGCGGCGTCGATCACTGTTGATTTTACCCACTCCCATCTCACAGCCCAAGATATTGTGAAGGGAGTGGCGCCGAGATGGAAGGTCACTAGCAATGCTGTGGTGGACGAGGTTGCTGGTCTCGCGGCAAAGGAGGCGCGGGTCCCGCGGGAAGTGCGATCAACTGTTCTTTTGCACGAGCGCAGGGCTCGGCTTGTGCGCATGCGGATTTTGCGGGCCACCTTGGACGCCTGCGACGCCGAAGCGGAAAACAGAGTTGAGCCTCGTGGAAAAAAGGTCGCCCCTGCCCCTGCGCCCCCCTCTGCTGCTTCTCTCTCCCTCTTCTCCACCGACCACTGCCTTGATTATGAGACAGGGCGCAGGTGTACTCGTTGTGGGGGTTCGGCCACAAAGGCACGGACCACTCTCTGGCGTCAGTCACCTTGTGTCGAGCCCCTGAATTATAACGGAGTGATTTTCAACAAACCCCCCCAGGCCCAGTTGCATATAGCGGGGGGCTTTGTTGACTCCTCTCATCGGATGCAGTGGCACAGTGGATTGAAATTGTGGTATTGTGGCAGATGTGGATGCTATGGGCATCAATTGCTGGACGGGCTTGGCCGTCCTTGTCAGCGTCCCACTGCTAACAGGCTTGAATACCTTTCCAGGATTTCTCGTGGGCTCTGGCCAAAGGTTCTGAGCAAGACGGAGAAGGCCACCCGACGCGGAGGAGCGTCTCGAGGGTAGGCCCTTTGTCGCATTGCATGTAGCATGTCATTATTGTCATTGCTTGCTGTCCTGACTTTGTCATGTATCCAGTTCCAGTTCCAGCTCCTCCTCCTCCTCCTCCTCCTCCTCCTCCTCCTCCTCCTCCTCCTCCTCCTCGGGTCGGCGAGGGTTCCCCTCCCTGAATGTGAAGCGCCCCCGCCCCCCCCCCACTCCCCCAAAACAAATACAGGTTCATACGAGATTGCGAGATGGAGGCAGCAGATTACGAGACTACGAAATACAAGATTACAAGATCACGAAACACAGATTAGGAACAAACAAGATCACGAGATTACGAAATGCGATGGAGGCAGTATATTACGCGATTTCAAGACTGCAATATTAGGAACATAAAATATTACAAGATTCCAAGATTACGGAATGCAAAAACATGGCAGATTACGAGATGGAGGTGTAGAGGCCTCCTAGATGGGGTCCGAGTAGATGAGGTCGAGGGATCGCGCCGCCGATGTATCGGCGATGCAGCGGCGATGCATCGGCGACGTCGGCGACACTTCCGCGACGTCGGCGTGGGGAAAATCGGGCTCCCCATCGGGCCGCATCGCCGATGCATCGGCGATGCGGCGCGATCCTCCGACCCCGTCTGCTCCGACCCATCTGGGAAGCCTAGAAGGTGGTGGCCTTCATGCGGTACATAAAACAGGGCTAGGATCGGGATAAATCGCTCCAGAGCGTTCCGGAGCGCTCTGGGAGCGTTCCGGAACGCTCTGGAGCGGCCGCGGCGCCCAATACATCCTCCAAACCCGCCGATTCTCAGAGATTTCGAGTTATCCCGATCCGATTTTGTCCCGATCTTCGCGTCGTTTTAGTACAGGGTCCGCCCAGGGAGATCCCGAGGTGCAGTCGCCGCGCTGCCACGCAGGACGCCGAAGAGGCAGCGGGGCGGGCGTTTTTCTGGCCACGGCCGGCCCGGGCCGAGAAGCGGAGGCGCAGGTCCCCGGAACGGCCCGGAAACCATGCAGGGGCCCTGGGACACGCAAATAAATGCACACAAATGAAAGGATTCCCCATATGTTCCCCTGCTTTCTGGGTTTTCGTCTCCGGGCGATCCCCAGGGGGGAGGCTATTTGTTCGCCACCCCTCACGAGGATCGTGGCCTCCGAGGGGGAGGCTGCCAACGACTACCCCCCCTCCCGCCGCAAGGGGCCCCCAAGAGCCCCCCAAGAGGCCCCAGGGGAGCCCAATACGCCGCCAAGGAGCCCCAAGACGCTCCCAAGAAGCCCCCAAGAAGCCCCCAAGACGGCCCCAAGAGGCCCCAAATAGCGCTCCAGGGCTGGCGGAATGAGCGAAGCGATTAAATAAAAAGATTCCCAATATTTTCCCCTGCTTTCTGGGTTTTCGTCTTCCCCCCCACTTCCCATAGTTTCCCAGATTCTCCTGGGAGTCGACGATGATTTGTGTCTGTGTGTTTCTTTCCCTCCTGCGAAGAGGAGGCTCAGATCTCAGGAACGGCCCGAAAACCGGAGCCCCTCCCGAATCCAAAGTGGTCCTCAGCTCTGCTTGGCCAGAAAAAAAGGCCCGTGATCCTTTTGGGAGGGATCTAAGCCAGGAGGGCCAAAAGCATCAGGGATAGGGGCTCTTTCTTTCTGCGGATGGACCGACCCAAGCCGCCCAGAACGATTATCCCTGATGCACCCAATGACGGGGAACCTCAGTGAGGCCACGTCTTCACTGTTATGTCAGGGTTAGGGGTTCTTTTATCATCGATGAGGCATAGCGCTTTGACATCAGGCCGACAAACTCCCCGCCACAAGCCGAGGCGTGGTCTGTGCGCCTGTCCCGCCTCGTGCGCCATTTGGGTCGGGCACCCCATGCGGTGGGCTGCTCTTCTGGCCTCCCGATCGCTGGGTGTTAGCTCGGGATGCATCGGCACGGAAACGAAATTGAATATGATTGGCCGCGCCAGGATGCACCACAGCACCCATGCTAGCATCGGAGCATCGAAATCCAATCCGATCGGGCAAGCCGGAGCCGATTTCGCACTGCATCGGCCCGATCGAAATAGAGCCTGCAAGGGTAACGAAAGGCCTTTTGTACG